TACTACCTGCTGGTGAAGGAGCCCAAGAGGTTTAGAGAGGCTTCAATGAACTGCAAGCTCAGAGGAGGCAACCTGGCCATGCCCAAAAGCACCAACATCAACCGTCTCATGGCAGACTATGTTAGTCAGGCAGGACTGACAAGAGTGTATATAGGAGTGCAGACTCAAACCAAGGGCATGGTAAGTGGTTTTGATAATATTAACTAGGTAAGTCTAATGCTTTTTTGATACTTTTAATGTGGAAAAATAAAAGACGGTTGTGTAAAGTGTAAGAAGGACATATTTTAGGCTGTTGTGGGCAGTGTTGGTTAAAAACAGAACAAAATTAGTTAACAAATGATGACAAACTGTTGTTGTTGTTTTTAATCTCTTCTCTATTTTCTAAAATCAGGACGGGAGCAGTCACGTTTATGCAGACTCCACCCCTCTGCAGGGTTTTGCATCTTGGAGCCAAGAGGAGGAGCTACAGCCCAACACAAACTCCAGCTGCGTGGAGCTGCTCAGCACTGGAACGTGGGCTCACGTGGAGTGTGAAGCCACCATGTTTTTCATCTGTGAGTTCCCGAAGAGCAGGAGAAGAAGAGGAGGAAGAGAGGCAGCTGCCTCGTCATCATCTTGACCTTGACCACTCACTGCACATGTCAAGACAAGGATCAGACTCCTGAAAAAAACATTTATATTTCACATTTCCTGCAAATATGCAGACAATTTCAGTGATTGAGACTACTGTGTTTGCATATTTCACTAAGAACCATTACCACCAACAAATCAGTAAAATTGTTCTAAAATTAACTAAAATTGGGTTTCTTCTTTTAATTTCTTTTTCTTTTACAGTTGTAGTGGCTTTCACTATCTGAGAAAATATGGGGCTCACTTTTACTGGAGTTTTTACCAATTCTGTGGCACTGCTTCGGTATCATTGAAGGCTGCGGCTGTACTGAAAAATTTATATCAGGGTTCAAGAGGTTGGTTTAAGCAATTAGATTAGAGTAAAACGGTCTTGTGCTTAAGCACACAGGATTATCGTGCTATTTCACACAGAGTTACTCACAACTCCAAAATAAATTAAAGTTTACTAAACGTCTATAAGAGATTTACAACTGTTGTACCCTGCTGCTCAATTACAAGTGTCCAGAAGTACAAAGAATATACGAAGAAAAACTGAGTAAGAAAACATGATTAGCAAGGAATGTAACCTTGAGTGTTCTGAAATATGTATTTATTGGTGCATAAGGGAAATTGAAATAGACAAAGGAAATAAAGGGACAAAGTATATAAA